TTGATTTTTGTTAAATGTAAAATTCGTTTTAAGAAAAAAAAATACTATATTTCTTTATATCTTTTTTCTAAATTAATTAAAAGTACATTAAAAAATAATACATATTAAAATATACATATTATTTTATTGTATTATTATCAGTAATATTTATATGTAATTGTTATAATATAAAGAAATATTATAAAATATATATTACATGAATATATTAAAAATATATTAAATATATTAAATAAATAATATATCAAATATATTAAATAAATTTGTAACATAATTTTTTTGTTATAATTTTTATAATATTTGATATTTTATTAATTATAATATTGTTTATTTTTTATTGATTATTATTGTCTTCAAAATGTTATAGCAAAAATTTTACTTTACTATATCAAAACATTGATTATACTATACATTAATGTAATATAAAAATATAAAATTATAGAATTATATTTTAAGAATTAATAACCTGATTTTTATAGCACAAAATAAAATAAATGATATAGAAGAAGAAGAAGAAAAAGAAGAACAACAATTACAAGTTATTGAAAATGAAGATTCAGAAATAAAAAATAGAAGATATGCTGAAGAAAATAATAATTTTTATGATTTTGATGATGATGAAATTGATGAGTTTGAAGAATTGAAAATGCATCTAGAACCAAAGTATCAGCGATATGCTAAATGGAGGATCTAAAATTATGTGTTTTTTGACTGCTTAAATAGTGCGTAATGATTTTGTAAAAATACATATTCAACTCATAGAATCGTACTAAGAATTTTACATTGTACAAATGAAAAAATATAGATAAATCTTATAAATATTATTGTATATATATTTAGAGAGAGAGAGAATTTGTAGTATTTTATACATTAGTTTTGCTCAGCTTTAGTTTAAATTGATGAATAGAAAAAAAATGAAGAAAATATGGATCCTCATATACATATACGTGTATTAGGAATAATCTTAGTACATGTTTAATTCTAGTCTAGAAAACAGTTAATCTATAATAGCATGAATTAAAAAAAAATCATAAATCAATATCAAAACAAAGTTTAAGATTTTACAATTCTATGTCAAAATCATTTATTTAATTGTGTTATAGTTAATTTTAGCTTTTCATATGATTTGCACATAATCAAAATTGTGCATAATGTAGAAATGGTTGTATATAACTATATCATATTATTATATCATTATTATGTGTCTATGAATATGTATATATGGGACTTAATTAAGTAATATATACATATTCATATTTGATACACATCATACAAAATTGTTACTTTTTGAGAAAAGTTTGTGTCATTGAGGGAAAAGTATTATTAAAATTGTTATATATAATGTCAGATTTTTATTTATAAATTGTAAACATTTTCAATATTGACATAATATATTTTTATTACATATAAATACAGAATAAAAAGTTTTTGACTTAAATAAATCAATACTTAAACTTGAAATTTGAATTTTTGTTATTTGAAAATGTATATTTGTTATATTGTATATTTATAAAATTTTTCTTTAATATGTTATTTCTGTAAATATATTATAGAATATAACTTGCTAAAGAAAAAATGAAATTGACATGTGATATGAATATAATTTTATTAAATCATTGATTTATGTCAAAAATTTATTAATAATACCAGTGATCAGTAATTTATAAAGTGTATTTCATATCTACATTGTATTTTATATGTATTATATATTCATAATGACAAAAACTTAATTTCATACATTAAAAAGTAATAATGAAATTTATATAACTTAAAACTCCAAAGTATTATTTTATAATTAATAAAAACTTTATGGAGTTAAAAATAAAAAATAAATTGGTAATTTTTAAATATATATAGTTATATTTTATTTGATATATTCTTAAACTTTATGAAGAATCAAAAAAGCAACAATTAACCATTAGCTATTTTCTCAATCACGAAATTCATTGATAAAAATGAAAAAACTATTAAATATTATTATTAATTTAGCAATATTAAATTATAATTATTGTAATTATTCTGTATATATATATATGCGTGCGAGCGCAACACAAATTCACATAGAATACACTCCATCAAAAATGTGCGTTTATGTTGTGAAATTAATTATGTACAATTTATATATTGAAAAGGAATTGAATTTATTAAGAATTTTATCGTATTAAAAAATAAAACAATAAAGATGGTTTATTAATTAATATGTTTAATAATCTTATTAATACATACCGAACATTTACATATTATTAATTGATATTCATACATAACAAACATATTTTTATTAAAGTTTAAGTACTTTAGAGTTTTGTTTTACTAAAAATTTAAATATATCTTATTTTAATATCTTATAATAATTTTCATTCTATTAAATCTATTAAAAATTTTATTAAAAATTATTGATTTATTACAAATATTATAATATTAAAAAAAATATCGATGGCTAATTATAATTTATTAATATTTAAAATTAATTTTTTTTATTTTATATTATTATCATTCTATTATAAATAATTTATATATTTTTTTTCTTTCATTTTCACAACAAGAAATTGTACGCGCAGTCGCGCTTTAAGTATATATATAATATATATATATATATAAAGGAATTGCGTTTATATAGTAAAAACATATCTTATTTTACGTAGCAAAAACAAATATTATTAATTCACTTAAATAAAATACATATTATTATATTATCAATTGAATATTTAGTTTATTTAAATACAGTTTTTTTTGAATTGTGCACATACCAAATATTCATACTTTGTGTTTTTGAAATATTGATCGTGATAATAAAAAAAATTTGTGCTAGAAATATAGTTTAACTTTAAAAAATAAGATTTGAAATAAATCGTGAAATATTATTAATATATATTATTTTATATAAGAAAATAGATCATTATTTTCATAGAAAAATCATTTATCAAAAGAAAGATGAATGATTGTTAATCAATCTATCATTTAGTTTTTCCAAAGAATCGGTAATGTTATTATTAATGATTTTATTTTTTATTAAATTAAAAATTTGTTAGATTTATAAATCAAATTTAATAATGAAATTATTAACAATATACTGATTATTTTTAAAAGATATAAGGAAACTTTTAATTTTTATTATTTGATTAAAATCAACTAATTAAATATATAATTTACTAACAAATTTACTATAATTATTGTTATATTTTTTATTTTTTATATTAACTTAAATTTTTTCTAAATTAAGTTTTTAAGTTTTGGTTTTTTAATCAATTACCTTATAAAAGTTTATATAAAACAATAATGTGAAAATTGTTAAAATAATAATATAAATGAATAAAA